AGGATATCTGTGTGTTTTTAACCTGCTTATCATGCTAGCTGTGAATAGCTATCAGAATTGTCATTGTTGTTGATGTTAGGTCCAGACCTGTGAGTTCATCTATGGAGATGAAATCACCTGATATGGAAACTCCCTGCCCTCAGTTATCTGGAGCACTGAAAAGTTAAGCATCTTCCCTATGGTCACACAGCAATTCTTTTGTTGTTGTTGGCTAGGCAATGGGGTTAAGTGACTTGCTCAGGGTCACACAGCTGGCACACAGCAATTCTTAATGAAAACAGGGAATCTGTTGGGGATATTTCTATTGCCACAGTTCGCTCCTCTGTACGCCCTTGGGAGGAAAGCACATTGCCAAAGCAGTGGGAGCTAGGATTTTTATTATCATCCCTCATCAAAAGTCACCCAGCCCAGGCAATCGGGCTCCTTCAAAGCCACAAGCATTAGAAGCAAACAGCCTACAGGGCCGCTTGGCAAGAGTTGGCAGCTCTGCCCTGGCGCGGCCAACAAACTTGTGGATTTCCCCTTCTGTCATGGGAGGCTGACTATTTGGTATCTCTCAAGGGGTGGAACCAAAGACGTTTCCAGAGGGCTTAACAAGAAAGGCATCACCTGAGTCCTGCAGAGCCAAACATTCAATACAAGCAAGGTTCCTGGAAAGAGACCAGTTACACAAAATGTTACCAGCTGATGTTTAGAAGCAAAGAATGTCAGAGCTGGGAGGGCCCTTAGAACACAGAATGTCACAGCTGGGAGGGGCCTGAGAAGAGAGAATGTCAGAGCTAGGAGGGCCCTTAGAACATAGAATGTCACAGCTGGGAGGACTCTTAGAACATAAAATGTCAGAGCTAGGAGGGACCTTAGATCACAGAAGGTCGCAGCAGAAAGAACCTTAGAACACAGAATGTCTGAGCTGATCTTTTGTGGTGGCAAAGAATTGGAAATTGAGGGGATGCCCATCAATTGGGGAATGGCTAAAAAAGTTGTGGTATAAGAATGTAATGCAATACTATTGTGCTGTAAGAAATGACTAGTGGGATGATTTCAGAAAAACCTGGAAAGACTTACATGAACTGATACGGAGTGAAGTGAGCAGAACCAGGAGCACGCTCTACACAGCAACACCCACATTGTGCAATGACTAACTTTGACAGACTTAGCTCTTCTCAGCAATGCAATAATGTAAGACAATTCCAAAAAACTCATGATGGAAAATGCTATCCACATCCAGAGAGAAAACTGTGGAGTCTGAATGCAGATTAAAGCATAATATTTTCTCTCTTTTTTCCCCCTTTCTCATGTTCTTTCCCCTTTGGTTCTGATTCTTCTTTCACAACATGAATAATGTGGAAATATGTTTAATATGATTGTACATGTACAGCCTATATCAGATTGTATGCCGTCTTGGGGAGGGGAAAAGGAAGGGAGAGAAAATTTAGAACTAAAAATCTTATAAAAGTGAATGTTGAAAACTAAAATAAAATAAATAAAGAAAGAAAGAATGTCAGAGCTGGGAGGGGCCTTAGAGCACAGGATGTTAGAATTGGAAGGGACCTGGAAGCTGGGTCATCAGAGTTGGGAGGGACCTTAGAACATAGAATGTGAGAGTTGGGAGAAGCCTTAGAACATAAAATGTGATAGCTAAAAGAGACCTTAGAACGTAAAATGTCAGCACTATAAGGGATATTAGAGACCATTTAGCCCAATCTCCCTGATACATGTGGCACACAATAAACACTTAATAAATGCTTTTCTGTTCACTCACTTTATAGCCAATAAGTAACAGAACTGAGTCTCCAACCTCAGTTTGTTTTGAAATTTCCAGGCCAGCCTTCCCCTATCCTCTCCTTGTCTTGCTACAAGCCCAGGCCAGCCTGTTTGTTCAGGAAGGCCCTCCCAGACATCGCAATAAGCTGCTTAGAGAAAGGACCAGGCTGTTTTGGGGCATCCAAATCCAGCACAGAGGAGACCAGATGGGGGCTGGGAGCCCAGTTAGCCTGAGACTCCCGGGGAGGTATTGGTTGGAAGCCAACTGTGAGTAGAGAGAGGTTCCCTGGGAGACCACCCTGCCCTAGACCTTTCTTTTTTCTCTCTGTGTCACAGATGACAGCTGTTTGACAGTCCCTGTAATTTTTAATGACAGATCTCGAATTTCACCTGGGGCAAGAGACAACATCACCTGGAAGTTTCTTGGGAAAATAAAAGGAAAGAAAAGGAGAATTGGGTGGGAGGAGGAGGGAGGAAGGGAGGGAAAGGGCTGTGCTTGCTTGAGGAGACAGGGTGTTGGGGAAAGAGCCCTGGATGGGCTCTGTTACTGTGGGCAGCTTTCCTATTCTGAGCCAACAATTTCTTCATTTGGAAAATGATGATAATAATACAAAGTTATGTGAGGAAGTCACTGAAAGCTTCACTAGAGAAATGTGGGTGGTTGTTATTACTTAAATATAAAGCCAGGAAGCTTTTGTTGGGCTAGATACCCACAGATATCTCTGCCCTTGCGTAGTTTGATATCTGGCACCCCGACTTTGACAACATGCCCCAGATGGGCATGACTGCCAATCTCTGGCACGTGCTCACTGTGTGACAACGGGCTAGTTACTTCACCTGCAAAATGAGGACAATCATCGTTGCATAGCATGCCTCAGAGGACTGTTGTATGGATGGCTTTGGGTGAGCAAGACAGTACAGTTAAAAGGGGAGGGCTTGGTTGGTGGGTTTTTCCTCACTTTTCTCCGGGCAGGTTCCCGGGATCCAAAGTGGTTCTTCACTGTGGCAATCTTTTCAGCAGGCTTCAAGAGACCACGCCTTGGAAGGCTGGTCCCCTCCAACGCACTGCCTGCCCAGGTTTGCATAATAGCCCATGGGGAGGAGGAAGAAGTAAGAACTTATCACCTCTGAGTCACATCTTTGAGTTTCGGAAGGATGCGATAGGATAATTTTCCACAATCAACGAGCTCAAGACTGTTCAGCCCTGAGAAGGAGCAAGTCTGGCTCTACTATTGACTTCATAGGTGGCTGTGGGCAGCTCATTAATCTGTCTGGACCTCAGTGTCCCCCTTGGTGAAATGACTAGGGAAGGCTTACATTCTCTGTTCTAAGGTCCATTCCAGCTCTGGGGAGGCTATGTGGTATAATGGGAAGATGCCTGGATTTGAGGCTAAATCTCACCTCTGTCACTCAGTACCTTGGGTGGGTCCAGCTCTGGACCCCAGTTTCCCCACACATAAAAAATGAGGTAGTTGGATTAAATAGCCTCCAGGTTCCTGCCAGCTTTAAGTCAATGAGCCTTTATCAGGAAGTGTGGCAAAGTAAAATGGGCATTAGCTTGGGGTTCTGGAGTATCTGGGCTCCGTTCCTGGCTCCCTCAGTTATGACATGTGTAATCTCGGGCAAATCCTTTAGCTCTCTGAGCCTCAGAATTCTCATCTGTAAAAAGAGATGAATGCGGCAAATGTCCCCTAAGATTACTTCTAGCTCTACTCCATGATCCTATAATAGGATCGTCTACTTCCTAAAGTCCCTCCCAGCTCTACCTGTCTGCAGTCTAATGTCCCTGCCAGTGGACATTCCCTCTAGAAGCCATGAATTCCCCCATCTCAGCATTTCACAATAATAAATTCATTTGTTAGCATTTCCTTCCCCCCTTACAGCCTCAGTTCCCCACCCAGGAATTACTATTCTTCTTTTGTGTGCAGGAAACTGAAGCACAGAGAGAGATTCTATGACTTGCCCAAAATTGCCCAGCAAATGAATTCTGGGGCAGGATGAGAAGTCCACTTTCACCCCTCCCAGTTTCAGCTAAGGCAGCATGCAGACTTGCCTCAGATAATAAATAGTGCCTTCACTTGTAAGGAGAAGTGGGGAGGGGAGTCCGATGGCTGAGATGTTAGGGGAGGGAGGAAGAAATGAGGACAAAGGGACTAAGTCACTACCATTCTTTTACTCACTTTCACATTTTGTGAACATTTTGTGTTAGAGCTGCAAAGTACTTCAGAAAACAGGATGCCAGAGAGGGAGAATCTTATTCTATGGAATAGCAGAGCTGGGAGGGGCCCTAGAACAGAGAATGTCAGAGTTGTTGTGAGGATCAGATGAGACAATATTTTGTAAAAATAAAATAAAATAAAATAAAAATAAAAAATGTTTAGCCCAGGGCTTGATGCATAATACTATATAAATACCTATTCCCTTCCCTTCCCTTCCCCTACCTTAAGACACAGAATATTAGCTGCAGAAAAGACCTTAGAATACAAAATATCAGAGCTAGAAGGGACTATAGAACAGAATATCAGGTTTGGAAAAGACCATAGAACACAAACTGTGGAATGTCAAGAGATACAAAGGGCCATAAAATGGGTTAACATACATAATTATTTACTTTATATCATATTGCTTGCCTTCTTTTAGGGGCAGGAGGAGAAAGACAATTTGGAACTCAAAGTTTTTAAAAATGAAGGCTAAAAAATTTTACATATAATTGGGAAATATTTAATTAAATAAATAAAATATATCTTAAAATCTTTAGAATCATTTGCAACAGGGGATATGAGAGGAAGGATAAGGCAGAGTAGGAAGGGAAACTGCATATAGTAAACAAAAAAGAAAGAAATCCAATGATGGCTACCCAGGGTGATGTTAGAGCCAGGGGTAGGGACATGTGAAGACCTCTTCCCTTTTCAGATGAGGAAACTGAGGTCATGTGACATGTGACCTAGAATCTAGCCACAGCCGAATTTCCTCATCTGTCAAATGAGTGCAATGATCCTTCCAAATGACCAATCTTGCAGGCTGGGTAAAGAAGAATGGCCTTTATGCTGGAAATAGCGGAGCAAAACCAATTAGCAATGAGTTGGTATTGCTTCATAAACCTCGAACTATTGAGGAAATATGTGAGCTCTTGTAGATATAATCGTTATCATTTGCATTATTCAAACAGGAGTGAAACAGTCACAGAGAGTTATTCTTGATAACTTGTGAACATATTAAACTTTTGTAAATCATAGGTCCAGAAATCCGGAGTGAGAAGATACCTCAGAGGCCAAGAGTCCAGACCCTTCATTTTACAAATGAGAAAACTGAGTCCCAGAATGGTGAAGGTACGTATCTAGGTCCCTTTGAAGGGACCTCATGGTGGAGGAGACCCTTTGTATAGTAAAGAGCTCTGTTTAAAGCAAATGATAATTATAACTGATCTTTCCAAAGCACTTTGGGATTTACAGAGCCCTTTACATCCGTTATCTCTGATGCTCCTTTGAGACTGATGTGGATGCCCAGGGAGCTCACCAAATCAGGTTTTAAAAGTGAAATGTACAGGGGCAGCTAGGTGGTGAAGTGAATAGAGCACCAGCCCTGGATTCAGGAGGACCTGAGTTCAAATCCAGCCTCGGACACATAACACTTACTAGCTATGTGACCTTGGGCAAGTCACTGAACCCCCTTACCTAGTCAAAAAAAAGAAAAAAAAAAGAAATGTACAGAAGATGGAAGGAATGCAGCTGGGGAACTGAGACTAAGTATGAGTATGGTTTGGTCTTTTAGAAATTATGTCAGGCATGCTAAGGCTCACAATAAGCCAAGGAAAGTTGAGGACAACAGAAAGACTTTGTCATGGTTTTTTAAAGCCGTATTTCCTATATTATGGGGGAAGGAGGATTGAAGAAAGGAGAGGACCTTTACTTGGGATGGTTGGGGTGGTGTTAACTGACAAGAGAGAAGAAGGCAAAGCTACTTCTATTTTCTTCATGCAGAAGAATGATATCAGAACAACACAACGCAAAATAACCAACAGGAAGTGGATATCCAAGATAAGTAAGGAGATTAATATTTAATTATCGCTTAGCTGCCCTTTTGATGAATGGCCCAGAACTGCATCTGGTAATGAAAGAACTGGGAGATGAGATCATTGAGCCACAGTCAAATGATCTTTGAAAGATCTCAGTAAATCTCTATCAGAAATTCAATCAGATTGAGATCAGAGAAGGGCAAATGTCCTTGTTTCCAAAAAAAAAAAAAAGAAGAAGAAGAAGAAGGGAAGAGATACGAGTTTGCTTACTATAGACCAGTGACTTCACTTTGAATCCTGAGGGAAATTCTAGAATGGATTATCAAAGAGATGGTCAGTGAACATCTAGGTAGGTGATTGCAAAGACCCATCATGGCTTCTGTAAAGGCCAGTCATGCCACATTAATCTCATTTCTATTTTTGACAGGATTGCTGAAATGGTAGCAGTGGAGAAGACTGTGAGTATAGTTTACCTAGATTTTAGCAAAGCTTGAGATAAAGCATCTCAACCTCTCCTTTTAAAGAAGCTTCTATTCATCTCTTGTCTCATCGTGGTTCTGGTGGCTCCCCACCCCCAGAATGCGTCTATCCTCACTTCTGCCTCATAGAATGCTTGTCTTCCTTCAGGATGCAGCCGAAGCACCGCCATCTGCATGAAGCATTTCCTGATCACCCCCACTCCTAACTGCTAGCATGTTCCCACTTTGCTTACCTTGTAATTACCTTGTGTTCATTTGTATATTTTCTGTACAAACACATATATTACAGGTGAATGTATATATACATATATGTATGTGTACATATGTATATGCATACATTTATACACATATGTAGTTATGTGTGCTTTTTGTCTGTCCCATTAGAATGGAACTCCTTGAGAATAGGGATTGTTTCATTTAGTGCATCTGTATCCCTTAGTGCCTAGCATTGTGCTTGAAGCACAGTAAGGGTTTAATAAACACTTGTTGACCGACTGAGTGCAATCAGATTGATTCAGAACTGGTTGGATGGCTGGATCGAGAGAGTGGTTGTTAAGGGCAGTAGGACAGGAGGTCTCTAGCGGAGTGCCCCCACGATCAGTCCTTGGCCTTAGCTCTTTTACATTTTTATCATTGACTTAGATAAAGAAGCAGATTGGTATGCTCATCAAATGTGCATTTAACACAAAGTTCGAAGGACTAGCTAGCACACTAGATGAAATAATTAGGACCTGAAAGGATCTTGTCAGGCTAAAACATAGACTGAATTTTGAAAAATGAAATTCAATAAAGAAAAATGTAATCTTTAAAACAGAAATGTAATCTGCTTGAGTAAAAAAAAAATCCAAATTCACAAATATAGGATGATTGAGGCATGGCAAGACAGAAGCTGTTCTCAAAAAGATCTGGGAGTCCTGGTGGACTGTAAGATCAATGTGAGTCAGCAGTGGCATGTAGCAGCCAAAGAATCTAATGGAATCTTGGGCTGTATCAAGTGGGGTTAAAGCTTCTAAGACTAGGGAGGTGATGGCCCCACTGTCCTCTGCCGTTGTTATGCCTAGCTGTAGCATTAAGTTCAGTCCTAGACACTGTGGTTTAAGAAGAGTAAGCTGAAGAGTGTCTAGAGGTCTAGCAGTGGTAAATGGTTGCATCAGTCAGCCTCATTCTCCTTGACCTCTGTACAGTCTTTGACACTGTTGACTACTCTTTTCTACTTGATATACTCTTCTCCATAGGTTTTCAGGACACTGCTCTGCACTGGTTCTCCTCTTTCCTATCTGGCCACTCCTTCTCCATCTCCTTTGCTCTGATCATGTGAGAGTGGCTCCCTATCACCTCCAAGATCAAATACAAAATGCTGTGTTTGCCATTCAAAGCCCTTCATAACCCAGCCCAACAGGTACTCTCACCCAGTCAGTGACTCTGGCTTCCTGGCTGTTCTACCAACAAGACACTCCATCTCTCAAGTCCAGACATTTTCTCTGGTTGTCCCCATGCCTGGAAAGCTTCTCTCCTCATCTTCTCCTCATGGCTTCTCTGGCTTCCTTCAAGTTCTGACTAAAAACCCATTTTCTACAGGAAGCCTTTCCCAACCCCTCTTAATTCTCCAATGTCTCCTGTTTATTCTGTATATAACTTTTTGTACATATTTATTTTCTTGCTGTCTCCTCCATTAGGTTGTCAGTTCCTTGGGGCCACAGACTGATTAATAATTAGTCAGCATTTATTAAGTGCCTACTATACGTCAAGTACAGGACTGAGTGTTGGGGATACATAGAAAGGCAAAGTGAACAAACAAAAACATGTAGTGTGAAGATTGCTTAAAGTACTTGAGCATCATTAGCCTGGAGAAGAGAAGAATGTGGGAGGGGGCAGGGCTCAACAGCTGTCTTCAAGTATTGGAAGGATTGTCAAGTGGAAGAATTCTACTTTTCCATTTGGTTACAGAGAGTAGAGTCAGGAGCAAAGAGTGCACAATGAGGCCAATTTAGGCTTGATGTCAGGAAAACCCCTTCCACCAGTGAAAGGGCTGCCTCAGGAGGTGATAGGTTCCATCTCCTTGGAGGCCCCCAAGCAGAGGCTGGAAAATCACCATATTGGGTATGTTGCAATGGGTATCTGCCTTTCATGTTTGGGTTGAACTAGATGGAAGGAAATAAACCTTCATTAAATGCTTAATGTGTACCAGCCACCACGCTAAGTGCTTTACAACTATCATCTCATGTGATCTTCATGACAACTCTGGGAGGTAGGTTCTATTATGATCCCCATTTTACAGGTGAAGCAGCTGAGGCAGACAGAGGACTTGGCCAGGGTCACACACCTAGTAGGTGTCTGAGGCTGGATTTCAACTCAGGTCTTCCCGAATCCCGGGGCCACTGTTTTATCCACTTGCCGCCTCGCTGCTTCCGGGTTTGCTTCCAACTCTCAGATTCTGATTCAGTGAGGTAGGCATTATTCTATATTATTATATTATTACAGAGGCTCTGCTATTGACCACCTGGATGATCTGAAGCAAGTCACTAACTTTTCTGAACACCAGTTTCCCCATTATTGATGAAAGTTGGCCTAGATGATTTCTGAGGAATCTTGCATCTCTGTATTTCTGATTGTCTGATCTTCATTTTACCAATGAGACAAAGGTAGACCAGAGAGTTCAAGCACTTTGCCCCAAGTCACACAGCTAGTAAATGACCGAGGGAACACTTTCTTTCAAAAAAATTGTTATTGTGTGTTTTATTAATGCCTTTTGTTCTTACATCACAGTCATTTCCGGATACATCTCCCTCCTTCCACACCCCACATCTCCTCCCCACCCACCCCGCCCTTGCCAGATGGAATCCTCCCTTGTAACAAAGAAAAATAGTTAAGCAAAAACATCTAACATAGTGAACATGCCTACCAGTGTGTTCCACACTGCCTGATTATTTCCTTGCCTTTTTGTTGAGATGAGGGATTTCAATTTCGTCTGTTTTTTCAGTTCTTTAGTGACCAAATTTCCTTTAGCGCTCTTTTCATTTATATTGTTGTCTTCAGTTTCTTTTACCGTGCATTAACTCAGACAAGGCTTCCCCTGTCTCTCTGAATTCCTCATAATCAACTTTATTTATTTATTTATTTGTACTGCTCAATAATATTCCATTACATTCATGGTCTAGTTTTTTTTTTCTTCTTCCAGTCATTCCCCAAATGACTGGTATGTTGTTTTCAGTTCTTTAATACCACAAGAAGGGCCCACATGAATCTGTTGTTATTGTTGGACCTTCCTTTTCTGCCTTCGACCTTTTGGGATTAGAGTTCTAGCTACAGGAGTTCTGGGTCACAGGGTATGAAAAGTTTATTCACTTCTTGTATAATTGGTGGTGGCAGCAAGGTAGGGTGGTAGATAAAGCAATGGGCCTAGGGTCAGGAAGATTTGAATCCAAATCTACCTCAGACACTTGCTGGCTGAGTGACCATGAGCACATTGCTTAACCTCTGTCTACCTCAGTTCTCTCCTCTAAAATGGGGATAATAATAGCACCCAGGGTTGTTATGAAGATCAAATGAGATATTTGTAAAAGTGTTCTGCAAGCCCTAAGGTGTTATATAAATGTTAGTTATTATTTTATTATTACTAATTCCAAATTGTTATCTAGAACAGTTGGGACCAGCTCTCAGCTCCACAGTCTATTACTGCATTTATCTTCCCATGGTCCCTCCAACCTGTTTTTTGTTACCTTTCGGGAGGTGAGGAAAACCTCAGGCTTGTTTCTATCTGTGTTTCTTCTATTGTTAGTGATTTGCAGCATCAAATGTGCTTACTAGGGCAGCAGGCTGCCTCCCTAACTTGGCCAATGATGACATGCAGGTGTTCATTCTCCTACAGATTTTCTTTCCGGGGGAGCACACCAGAAACCGATCTGCTAACATCACTTAAAGAAATAAAAGGAGCCACTTTGGGGTGGGAGTTTCTGGTGGGATGGAGGGTTGGGTCTCTTCAGTCCTGCTTTTTTTTTCCTTCTTCTTCCTAATCCTTCCTCTCCTCGGAGGGTTAGAGAGGACTCTCAATGAAATGTGTAGGATGACAGGTGAAATTGACGAGGTGACGTCATGCCCTTCCCTCCAAAGACAAGAAGCCCCGTAACCCAGTAGAAGGGGAGGCAGAGGGGCCGGCCAGAACTAGCAAAACAGGAAAGGCGACCAGAAGAGCAAGAGGCCAGGGGGATGGCCTAACGGCCTCCCAGGGGGAGGATAAAGCCAGGCCCTAATCCTGCTCTCCCGCCTCCCGAGCCCTGAAAAGCTGTGGAAAGTGTTACAGAATCTCCAAGTGCCAATTTTGCTGACAGGGTGTTATGGGGATTTTCTCAGTAGCAGGGTGTTTTAACTGGGGTCGAAGGAGAGGGGGCAAAACTAGCACCAGCCTTTGCAGCCTGGGAGTTCAAGGTGCTGGGTCTCCAGGGAAGCCGGGCCTGGGCTACTAGGTTTAGAAGCATGCCTGTCATCTTTCTTTTTTTCAGTTTAATGATCAAAGAATGTCAGAGACGATAGAGGCATTAAAATATAGGATGTCAGAACTGGAAGGGCCCCTAGAATTAGAAAAACAGAGCTGGAATGTACCTTAGACCATAGGATGTCCAGAAATGGAAGGGACTTTAGAACATAGGGCAGCTGGGTGGCCCAGTGGATATAATGCTGGACCTGGAGTCAGGAGGACCTGAGTTCAAATTTGGCCTTGGACACTAGTTGTATGACCCTGGGCAAGTCACTTAACCCTGTTTGCCTCATTTTCCTTATCTGTAAAATGAGCTGGAGAAGGAAATGGCAGACCACTCCAATATCTTTGCTAAGAAAACCCCAAATGGGATCACAAAGAGTTAGCCATGATTGAAATGACTCAACAAGAACAACAAATCAGAATCCAGAACATCAGAGTTGGAATGTGTCTTAGAACACAACGTGTCCAGAATTGGAAGGGACCTTGGAATAGAGATTGTCAG